CATTCTCGAACATTACTGCTTTGAAAAATCTGTTTCACATTAATGAGAACAAACTGTTCCTTTATATAATTTCTTCCAAACTTGCAAAACCTGACTCCAAACTTGTCCCTGACAAAGGTCACCAAAGAAGCCCCACTAAGCATAAATTCACACAGAGGCCTGAATAGTTTTCAGGGCAACAGTTTCCAATGTTTTAACTTTAAAATCAGTTAATAAAGAGATTTGCATATGCATACAATGTCTCTGAAAGGATAGAGTATGGTATAGGAAAATTGACTTTCTGGAAAGGAGAACTGGGGAACTGAGTAAGATGGAAAGGTGAGTCAGAGGTGGGAGAGACTCACTTTTCACTGCAAACTTTTTTGTTTAAAATTCTTTTGCTGTGCTACTTCTTTAAAAAATGTTTACTAAGAACGACTTCTGCTAGAAGTTATTTACAATGTTTACATTTACAATGTTTCTAATTTTTACTATTTTTTTTAATCATAACTTTTTTAAAAAATTAAAGATATTTGTTTAAGTTGGTAAAACAAATGAATAATCATTGGAATAACAAAAGACGTGTCTTGGGCTTTACAAATCTCATTCTAGGCTGGTGGTATCATTCACAGATACATATCTCCTGGGAAAATTCCTGGGGACTCAAGATGTAGTACCTCTAATTAGGAGCATGTTAGTGCTTTATACAACCATACCCCTAAATTACCACATCTTTAATTATTAAGGAAACTTGGCAACCTCTTCTCTTCAACCACACCATCATCCCTCTGTGACAACCACACAGACTGATCTCTTAAGTAGAATTGTTACCAACAACACAGACTCGAAATTGCTAAAGGATTTGGCTGACACATCATTCCCTAACTTGGCATCTTCTATTAACCACATCACATCTCACTGTAGTGACCTCACAGCTTTCAAAGGGAGCCATTCAAATCGCCTCAGCACAAGAGTGAGAAGATTGCATTTGTGTGTTAAAATAATTTTATTAGTACTGTGGAAGATGAATGAAGTTGGGGTAAGGTTACACTGTTGAAGGCCTGTGCTCTAACAGTTACACTGGATATAAATTAGAGATGCATTTCAGGAAGTGGCACAGGCAGGATTTGATGATCTGACGAACCTGATGTGTAACATGAAGGAACAGAAAGAGTCTGGAGTGATATAGAGGTTTGAAGCTCAGCAGCATGGGTAGATAGCACTGCTAACTGCAAATGAAGAAAGCAAATGAAGAAAGAATATCAGAATTAAAAGGGGCTTTAAAGTAAACTATTTTAGAACATGTAATTAGTTGATTCATTACTACAACAAATGTGATGAAACTATATCCGGGGCATCTTATTAGTTGCTAAGTTTATTAAGATGAACAAGAAAGATACAGTCTGTGTCCTCACGAAGCTTCAAGTCTACTGTGAAAATGAAGGGACCTCTGCCGCTTGCAGCATACTGAGTTAGATCCTCTGAGGAGTCTGGTTGCTACAATATGACTAGATTCTGGATAAAACATGCTTCTCATGTATTGCTGGGGTTGTAGGAAGAATAAGAAAACTCTTGAGGCACCCTCTCCCCTAACCACCAAGAGTCACAAGATTTAAAAATGAGGTGAAGCCACGGTAGGATGTAGGGAGCAATAAGCAAACCCAAATGGCAGAGTTGCCCTGAGAATAAATATTGATATCAGCTTAGGAATCTGCAGACTAAATCAAAGTTCACTGACATGATAAGGGATGTGAACTTGAAACTCATAATCCTCAGAATCATGTAAGACGACTTAGAAGTTCCAGATCAGCATTAGTCCCTGCAAAAGAAAATACATATTCCCAAAAGAAAATATCCTTAGTATACCACTCAGGATCTGAGATCAAATAAATATGAGTTCATAAACGTAGCTGAACTCACAAGAAACCAAGCTATCTTGAGTAAGAGTAATCAAAAACAACTAACTCAGTGCTTTAGAACATGAGATACTGGAATTACTACTATATTTCACTGATTGGAATTTTTTTTTTTACTTTTGTAGCCCATTCTGAACATGGGATACACCTTAACACTTAACACTGGATCATAATTTAACTGGTGATGTGTTTTATTTCTTAGTTGAAATAAAAATAGTGGTCCATTTTATAATTAATGGCATATTAGATTCTAGATGCTTAAATATAGTAATCAGATATGGAATAAAAATAGCTATGTAAATCGATGGTGAAATAAAAAAATGCACACAAAATAAGACAATCAAAATGACCACAAAATCATTCTTCCAACTTTTCTGAATGTTTGAGAATTTTCATCATAAAATGTAAAACCAACAAATTACTAAAAAGTAAACAAGAAAAACTCAATTACTGAACATGGCTGAATAGAAAATGAACTGAGCGCTAAATCACAAAAAAATTGCTCAGAATGCAGTAAAGGAACAAAGATAATAGAAAAAAGAAAACAGAGGTTAAGAGACACGGGGAAAAAAAAGAGTTTAAAACACATTTAGTTGGAAAATCTGAAAAAGAGAATAGAAAGAAGGGAGGATAGGCAACACTTGAAGAGATAATAGCTGATAATTTTTCTGATTAAAGTCATTAATCAGAAATTTTCTGACTAAAGTCCTGCTACCATGGGTAGCAGGAACAGACACATACCAGGTAAAATAAATAAAAGAAATTCACACCAAGCCATATCATAAAGAAACTGAAAAATAACAAAAGCCAAAAGAAGATCTTAAAAGCACCTAGAGAGATAAGACAGAACACCTATGAAGGAACTACAATGGCTCTGTGCCATTCAAGGTATGGTATACATCATTCATCTAATCCCATAACAATCCTAAAAGGTACATGGCATGAACCCCGTTTTTATAGATGGCAACCTGAGGCAGAAGGAGGTGAAATATCGGTAAAGTAAAAAAACAAACAAACAAACAAAGTAGCAAATGGTGGGAGACAATAAATACCTCTACCACCAAATGGTGAGAGATAATAATTATCAACCGAGAATTGTACATCTATCAAAACTCTCACTCTAAAGGACTAAACTTAAGAACTAAAACTGTAAAACTTTAGAAGAAAACATTGGATAAATCTTTATGACACCCAATTTGGATATAATCTCATGAATATGATGTCAAAAGCAATGGCAACAAGAAAAACAGTAGACAAACAGAAATCTTTCAAAATTAAGAATTGTTGTACATCAAAGGACACTGCCAAGAAAGTGAAGAAACAACCTACAGAATAGGAGAAAATAATTGCAAATCATATATGTGATATACATATGTATCCAGAATATACCAAGAACTCCTACAACTCAACAACAAGAAAAAAATTTTTAAACGCGCAAAAGACTTGAATATATTTCATTTCTTCAAAGAAGGTGTATAACATCATCCATTTTTAGGGAAATGCAAATCAAAATAGCAGAGGACACTTGTTTATAGTACAGGAACTCAAACAAGAAGGCAGAACATTGCTTTGTTAGACTGCAAGTAGGAACACGTGTATAAAGTGACTGAAATTTTTTGCAGCTCTACATATGCCTGCAAATGGCCAATAAAATGGCTGTTAAATACAGATTTGGAGGTTGCAATACATTTTAGCAAGTAGACAAATCTGCAAAGATGGAATGCACAAATAATGAGGCTCAACTGTATAATCTAGACAAAATGTTAGATAAAACTACTTGATACGCATTGCAGAGTATCAGGAAGCAGGAAGAAACTGAAGAAAAGGAATGCTTAACAAAAGAAATCGTTGGAGAGAGTTTCCTTTTTAAGGCTTTTCACCTAAGGGCAGGCAGTGGTCCTTGTCAAATCAGAAAGCTAAAACATGAGAAAGTAAATTGCACGCTTACTGGATTGAAGAACCAAAAGAAAAAGATCTGAGCTACCTCAGCAGCTGGAATGTAAGTGAGGAAATTTCAAATTCCATATTTAAACTCTGTCTAAATCCCCAGTTGACCCCAGCTATGACTGAAAGAACTAAACAAATATTTTAGCTGATGTTTGCTGTAAGGAGGCAGGATTCAGAGGTTTTTCAGCCAAGTTCACTGTCTTAAAAACAAAAACAAAAACTGGAACACTCTTTAGAGGAATACAGCAGAATCCAGAGCCTCTACAACTTATCCACAATGTCTATCACGTCTCAATCCAAAATTATTAGGCATAAGAAGAAATAGAAAAACATCAGCCACATTCAAGAAAAAAGCTAATGAAGAGACTGACCCCAAAATGAATGAGATGTTGAAATTAGCAGACAAAGGTTTTAAGGTAGCTATTAAAATACAAGGATATAAATAAAAATATGCTCATGATGGATGAACAAATAAGAAATCTCTGTAGAGAAAGAAGTTATGAAAAAATACCCAAAGGAAATTTCTAAAACAGAAAAATACAGTATCTAAACTAAAAAATTAACTGGAGCTTTTTAGATATTTGCTAGCCAAAGATTTTTGGATGCTTGCTAGCTGGCTGAAAGAGATACACACTCTCAAAATAAAATGTCATTTATCAGCTAAGGCTTAAAATGGGATTAGAGATATCCTCACTAACTTACCTCTACTATGTCACTCAAACAATTGGGATTGTTTCCTTGATTGTTGTCTCTCCCCCTCACTTGGACTATAAGGAATAAGAGAAAAGGGGCTTTTGTCTGTCTAACTCCCTCTTCTATAACTAGTACTTAGGAGTATGACTAGAACACAATAGGTCTTTAGCAAATATTTGTTAAACGAATAAATGATATTACTTAAGGTCATACTTCACTTTGTATATTATACAAAATGAGGGTAAACATCCCAAAAAAAGATATACGTCATGAACTATTAACATCTAAAAAATTAATGTTTTTATAGTTAAAGGAATTCTAAGAAATAAGTCGGGTATGAAATATTTATACTTCAAACATGCATACTATATTTCATTCAAATGTTTCTTCCTCTTATGTGAAATGAAAACCAAATTAATTTTTATTAAGGAAAATAAGATTTCTGACATAAAATAATTAAATCACCTGTCCTGCCAATTCCAGTCGCTTGTTACCGTAATAATCTCTGTCGTCAACTTTATTATCTCCTTGGGCCAGAATTACTCTTCGCACCATCACTGCAGTATAGATACATTTGGCTCGGAAATTGAATTCCTTAACCTGTTGAGTCAGAAATTGGAGAAAAATTTTGAGAAAATGGACACTAAAATTTAATGTACCTCAAGAAAAATATCAACATTATAACATTTAAGTAAGAAAATACTGAATTGTTATGATTCTCTCCATTCAAATAAATTCAACTAGTCTGGAAACTTCCTGAGCCGAGAAGATGACTTTTCATCATTGTCCTCAGCACCTGTGAGTACCTTTGTGTCAAACATGACTACTATCAACTTATTCCCATCCTATATACTTCATGCCATTTCTTCATTAAAGGTGGAATCCATCACTCCCTTGGGATTATCCTATGATTAGTTTCACCAAGAGAATACAGTAGAAATGATAACAAGCCAATTCCAGAATTCACTTTTAAGTGAAATGGCAATTTCCTCTTCCTTTCTCTTAGAGTCCTCAGACACTACATGAGAAGTCCAGAACACTACTGTGCAGAGAGAGAGGCTACATTTCATTTAGTAAAATCTCAAAGAAATGGAAAATCAAGGAGGGGCCAGAGATGTAAGTGAAGATGCCATCTTGAATGTCCAGCCCAGGTGAGCTTCCAGATCACTCTAGCCTCAGCTGTTATCTGTCTGCAACTTCCTATGAGACCTGAAATGAGAACTCCCTCCTCCAACTGAAGTTAAATCCAATCACACCACAGAATCATGAGATATACAATAAATAGTTACATTAAGCCATTAAGTTTTAGAATTGTTTGTTATGCAGTGATAACAAGAATTGTACTAAAATCTTGCCTGGCATGCAACAAATATCTGCTGAATGAATGAACAGATGAATGAATTTGTAGCAAATGTTCTAGTCAATCTTCTCTAGTAGAAACACTGAAATCTATATGAATGAATCTGGCTCAATCAGTAAGTTGAATCAGAACTGGTAAAATAATTGCACTGGTTTGTCTGGAGAGACAAAAACACTGAAGTAGATCCTTTCCCTACATCTAAAAAGGCAAATTTTGAGAATGTAGCCTGAGCTTCTGCCAATTCCAAGGAATATTTATAAGCTTTTCCACAGATGATACATACTATTATAAGATTTCCTTTTTACTTACCTTAATCATTTAGTAAAATCCCAATGAAATCCCTTTTATTAATTTATCACTGTGACAATAAACAGATTGCATTCCAAGAAAAAAAAAAAAAAAAAGCAAGTATTCTCCTTCATACATTTTGTTGCTGCTGCTAAGTAATTCCAGTAAATAATGTAGGATGTTAGAATTCTGTATGTGTTTCAAAAACTCCATTTTCCTTCAAAGGAAGTTTTATTTCTTCTCTAGGTCAATTTACTCTCTATTACTGAGAACTCTGGAATGTGGTAAAAGAGAAGCCCTAAAAGCTACTTTGTTATCTTGTACCCACAAAACAATTACATCAATAAGAAGTTCTTTAAAAAGAAAAGTCTCTTGTTCATCCTCAAAAAAACCCCCTGTATAATCCTAACACCAGTTACCACAATATCAAGCAGAAAAACTCAGTGTCTGGGCAGCTATAAGTAATTTACAGTTTCAATTGCTGTATCAAAAGCTATATGGTCCTCCATTTAAGTACATCTAATTTACACTTTATTGTTCTAATCTTAATGTGGCCAAGTTACATGAAACAACATCTAACTCTTCTAGTTCTGGTTATCTTTCTTGTTAATGATAAAAATGAACTAAACTTCCATTAACAAAATTTTCAATTTTTAACAAAGCCCATTTCACATTTTCCTTTTGCATAAACACTGGTAGATTCTCTCAAAATGTTTATAAGTAGAAATAAATATGGATATTTATGGAAAATACCCCTACTGAACTGTACAATGCCACTCCTTGATTAGAGGTGCAGTCCATCACCCCTTGGGATTGAACCCTAACTCATTTCACACCCCTTTTTAATGACTATATGCTGAAAAGCAAACTCTAGGTCTAACCTGAAATGAATTATTTTTTCCAGGACTGTTCCCAAAGTCATATCCTCTCAATCTAGTGGCTGATAAAACCTTTTGGGAGAAAGCTAAGAGTGGTTCAGATACTCCTTTGTGGGATATTAATCTGTGGATTATCCGAAAGAGGGGGAGAAAAAAAGCACTGAAAATGACCCCAGAATGCTGAAACAGAATTGTTGCCTGTTTCAGAACTCTGGGGACCTTTTAACATTATATTAGAGGAAAGAGTGGTCTGGGACTTAGGCATCTTGGAGCCTAATCACCCTTAGAGCAGTGGTTTCTAAACTTTAACATGCATTAGAATCATCTGGAGGGATTGTTAAGCAAGACACAGATTGCTGGAATCCACCCCCAGAGTTTCTGATTCAGTAGGTCTAGGGCAGAGTTCAGGTATTTCTTAGAATTCATCTGGTGATGCTAATGCTACTAGTACAGGGAGAACCACAGTCCCCAAGGAACTGAAAGGCCAGGATATCAAGACCCAGGCCTCTTCTGCAGTAATATGTTTAATCATCTTTAAACAACCAATTTTAAGCTAAGCTTCATTCTATGCAATAATACCATAAAATCACATACACCACAAAAATGGATTTGATCTGCCAATTGTATTCTTTCTAATAAGTACATAATTACCTACATAAAAAATGGCCCTGTATCACTGAAAATCATCCTACATATCACATTTAGGTAAATAATATCCTAAACAATTCTGGAAAACGAAGATCTTTTCCCTGGTCCATCTATTCTGACTTTATTCCTCACTGGATTGTGTATAACCAAGCTTTTAAAATGGTAATTTAGGCTCCATGCAACCACAGAAAAGTGCAAATGATTATCTTTATCAGTCTAATTAAACAAATGCTAGTATGGGCAGGACTCTATCAACTAAACCTCTTTCATTAACCCAACATTCTTCTCAGTTACAGTATGAAGGTAAGTGCAGCTCCTAATAGCTACATGGGGAGCTGTGCAAAATATAGAACTTTATGTATATTATATATCTGAATCATCACAGAAACCCTGCGAGAAAGTGGAATTACTTTTATCATACAAAGAGAAAACTGAAGCTCAGAAAAGTTCAGATTTGCCCAAAGTTAATCAGGTAGGATGTAAGAAACCAGAATTTGAACAATTACATCTCAGGCTCCAAAAGCTCTTTTCGTTTCTACTATCATTTTTGCTATTATAAGTTTTGGACTCGTTCCAATCATCCAAAAGAGCTTAAAATTCAGTTCAGACCCAGCTTTAACATTCAGAATTTTCTAAGTCTTTGGATTAAATCAAGGACGTGCACAAATGGTAGCCAAGGGGCAGAATGAGAGACCTGTATTATTCAGATTAAAGGTGTTTTAAATAAAGGAAAGTCCGATCTGAATGCGTTCAGGTGGTTACTCTTGACTTCCACAGATCCCTTGATCTTCCAGTATTTTACAGTCAGCCCCTGAAGGTAGTGTTTGCAACCCTTGAATTAGATTATTCATGGATGGAACACATGGTAACTCCTTACAAACCAGACTATTTAGTTAACAAGATAATCTAGCAAATAATAATTCTATAACTTAGTAAGAGAAGCATATACATTAAGTGGGAAGAAAATTGAGGGCTGCTTCTTGCTAATATCACGCATGCCCATATGGCTGATCTCCATTTAATAATAATAAAAAATAAATATTATATACTAGTTCAAGGGTCAGAAGATACGTTCTAGCCCTTACTCTTAGTGCTAACTAGCTGGGTGATAATGCAAATCATCTAAGCATGTTTGGATCAGGGAATCTTCACAGTAAGTGAAGGAAGTTGGATAATGTAAACTTTAAAATTCAAAGTCTAGAAGATGAACTCATCCAGTAAGCATTTTTAAAACTATCTGATGTGGTGATGGTTGTACAATAATGTGAATGTACTTAAGTCCAGAAAATTGTACACTTAAAACAGTAAACTTTATGTTATACATATTTTACCATTAAGCATATTTTACCATACAATAAGCATATTTTATATAAGCATATTTTACCATACAATAAAAAAATGTATGGGCAAGGCATGTACGCTTATTTTCATTCACTTAAAAAACATGTAAGACACCATCTCTGTCCTTCAAAACCATGAAATCTAGTAGCAGTACTAATTTATGTATGAATATAAAAATAACAATAATTTAAGACTGAAAGAGTAACCACAAGAGAGTAAACATGATGATGGCGATACAGTTAACATTCTCTGAGTATCAATAAACTGCAGATAATGGAATATTATTTCTGGTGGGGCAGTACCATCCTCCTTAGAATTTCCTCTTGAGGAATTAGACTTTACATGAGGGAAACTCTTATCACCGTTCTTTAACAGGAATGCACAGATGCCACAGTCATTATTCACAGCAACAAAGGTGTATAACTCACTGGGACATGGGTCAGAATGGTGGAAGCCAGAAGCTCTCTTGCTTCTTCTATCTTGGTTTTCTTTGGTCCACCTCCCCACATCCTTTGTCTTCTCACTTTGTTCCCTATATATTTTAATGCCTATAAAAAACAGATTATAATAATGTTTGAATGACATCATTGGATTTAGTAAGCACCAAACCATATATACACTACAAGCAAAAGAGATAAAGACCCTGGTTATAGAGAAAGCTGTACTGGGTCTAGCTGAAAATCAACATTTATCATAAGTCAATGATAAAATAGCATAGCACACTGTCTAATACACTGATTCCCTTTTTATTTTTTGTTTTCTTACTAAAAAATTGATACATTGTCACTGTAGGAAATTTAGAAAATACAGACACAAGTAAAATGTGTGTGTGTGTGTGTGTGTATGTGTGTGTGTGTAGACATATAGCAGCCAAATTTTCACCCAGAGAAAATTTATAGTAGTACTTTTTCCCTCTCAAAAATGAATCATATCATGTAAGACCTCTACACTGAAAGCTACAAAAAACAGTGCTAGGAGAAAACAAAACATAAATAAATTGAGGGTCATGACATGTTCATCAATTGGATGATTCAATGGTATTAAAAGTGGCTTAATGTTAAAATTCTCTCCAAACTGACCAACACATTCATAATTGTTAATTATACCCTTAGCAGGCTTAAAAAGCAAAAACTGATTAATTCTAAAATTCTAGATTCTAAAATTTACATGGAAATGCAAAGGACCTGTAGTAGCTGAAAAAATACTGAAAGAAAAAAGTTGGAATACTATATTACCTGATTTTAACTATAAAGCTACAGTAATCAAAAGTGTGATACTGGCATAAGGATAGACAAATAAATCAATGAAAGAGAATAAAAAGTTTAAAAATAAATATATACTAACTGGTCAGTTGACTTTTGATGAAAGTTCCATAGCAATTCAATGAGGAAAAAAAAGTCTCAACAAATGGTGTCGAAACAAGTATTCATAAAGTAAAAAATTCATCTTGACCCCCTACCTCACGACAAATATAAAAATTAGATTAAGATGAATTTTAGACCTCACTATAAAAATTATTAATAAAACTATAAAGCTTCAAGAAGAAAACATTGACGAATATAGTCCTGATCTTGGGGTAGGCAAGATTTCTTTAAACAGAACACAAAGAACAATAAATATAAAAAACAAACAAATAAAAAACACCTCCTGATAATTTTTTTTTCAAAATTAAAAGATAGAATTAAGAAAACAAATAGGGAAGCAATGGACTGGGAGGAAATATATAAAGCTAACACGGAAGTTACATCCAGCATTTGTTTTTAAAAAGACTCTGAAACTCAATAGTAAAAAGACAACCCACTAAGGAAAATGGAAATTTGGCTCACACTCCACAGAGAAGAAAACACAAATGGCCAATAAACACATAAGCAAGAGTTCAACATCATTTGTTATCATAGAAATGAAAACTAAAACCACAATGAGATACCACTATACACCCATTAGAGTGGCTGAAATTTAAAAAACTGACAACACCAGATATTACGAGGACATGAAGCAATCAGAACTTTCTATCAGGCTGGATGCAGTGGCTCAGGCATATAATCCCAGTACTTTGGGAGGCTGAGGTGGGCAGATCACCTAAGAACGGAGTTCAAGACTAGCCTGGCCAACATGGTGAAACCTCGTCTCTACTAAACACACAAAAAGATTAGCCAGGTGTGGTGGCACACACCTGTAGTCCCAGTCACTTAGGAGGCTGAGACAGGAGAATTGTTTGAACCCGGGAAGCAGAGGTTGCAATGAGCCGAGATCATGCCATTGCACTCCAGCCTGGGTGACATAGTGAGACTCTGTCACAAAAAAAAAAAAAAAAAAAGGACTCTCATATACTGCTGGTAGAAATGCAAAATAGTACAATCATTTTGGAACAAGTATATATAAAAGTTACATACATATCTGCTCTCTGATTCAGCAATTCTATTCTTAGGTGCTCATCCATGAGAAATGAAACATGTCCACACATCCACACAAAGATTTGTTTATACGGTCTTATTCATAATTGCTAAAGACTGAAAAAAACACCAAGTGTCTATCAATAGGAAAACAGATAAACTGTGGGATATTCATACAATGAAATACTATTCAGGAATAAAAAGAAATGAACTACATGGATGACTGACATAAAAAGGAATGAAAAGGAACAACTTGGATGAATCTGACAATAAGCTCAGCAAAAGAAGCTAAACACAAAAGAGTATATATGGCCTAATTTCATATATAAAGCTCTAAAACAGGCAAAACTAATCTATGGTGCAAAAATCACTAATCTATGGTGCCTACTTCCATATATAAAGTTCTATAATAGGCAAAACTAACCTATGGTGCAAAAATCAGAGAAGTGAAGAAAAAAATCAGAGGGTAAAGGTAAAGACTGACTAGGAAGAGGCATGAGGGAATTTTGTGGGATAAAGAAATATTCTATATCTTATAAAGTCACACAATTAAGATTTATACATTTTAGTGTACATAAATTTACTTAAAATAACCAAGACAACTTCTGAAGGTAGGCATTGAATACATGAGCATTTATAACACTATTCTATGTACTTTGTATAGGTTGAAATTTTTCCTAATTAATACTGTTTAAAGAGCAGTATGTCGTTCTCATTATTTTGGAACAATGTACTCTTTTTTTATGTCTTTTGAGACAGGGTTTCACTCTGCTGTCCAGGCTGGAGTTCAGTGTGTGATGCCAGTTCACTGCAGCCTCGACTTCCTGGGCTCAGGCAATCCTCCCACCTCACTCACCCTCCCAAGTAGCAGAACTGCAGACACAGGCCACCATGCCCAGCTAACTAAAAACAACAACAAAAACCTTTGGTAGAGATAGGGTCTCACTATGTTGCCTAGACTGGTCTCAAACTCCTGACCTCAAGTCATCCTCCTGCCTCGGCCTCCCAAAATGGCAAGATAACAGGCATGAGCCACCTTGCCTATCCAAGAATGAACTTAAAAAAAAAAACAAAACAGACTTTCAGTTTAACAGAAGAAAAGGCTGGGATCTTTGATTCTTTATCTTGGAATTCCTGCCCAATTACCTGCTTGGGAAATTCCTTTTTCATACTTCAAAACCTAGATCAGGTATCACTTCTTTGAAGCCTTCTTCGAAGGCTTTCCTAACCCCACTCCTCTTTCTCTGCAATTTTAATTCCATATGCATTCAGAATTTCGTACTTTCATTCATGTTCACATCATATTATATGTTTTAATGATCTATTTACATATATGTTCCTCCTACTAGATTTTGTGGGTGGGAATTCTGTCTTTTTCTTTGACTTTCAATGACTAGCAGTGTTTGAAATTGAATGAAACTCTGTCCCCATGATAAGATTTGGACTTCAAATCTAAATCTTTCCCATTAAAAGGCCATTAGAGTGTAAGATAAACTTAAGACCCTGAAAACACCTGCTGCAGTGAACTAGTATTAAGTAGTAACTAAGTAACTGAAGAAAGCAGGTCAGCTGGCAGGAACCATAAGTAGACAGGCAGTTCAGCAGTTCAGCTTTCCCTAAACCGAGCTGTCCTCAATAAATTTTGGCCTTCTAGTTTCCTTGTGAAAAAGGCTAAGATTCTTCACTTCTTTGAGGGAGAAATAGAGGAACGCAGGTGAGCAGGGTATCCCTTGTGATGCATGGGCCAAGATGACATGCCTGGTGCCTCCTATCCCCTGCTAAAGCTAATACTTTCTTCTCTACTAGAGCCCAAGGCAATGATGACATAAAACATACATTACCAACACAGAAAGAAGGCTCCAGGAAGAGAAGAAATGTGAGAGAGACTACAAAGGGAGGTATTAAAAACAAAAAAACAAAACCCCACAGATTTTTTTTTTTTGAAATGGAGTCTTGCTCTGTCACCCAGGCTAGAGCACAGCGGCATGATCTTGGCTTATTGCAACCTCCACCTCCTGAGTTCAAGTGATTCTCCTGCCTCAGCCTCCCAAGTACCTGGGACTACAAGTGCCCACCACCACACCCGGCTAATTTTTGTATTTTTAGTAGAGGCAGGGTTTCACCATGTTGGCCAGGCTGGGTCTTGAACTCTTGACCTCAAATGATCCACCCACCTCAGCCTCCCAAAGTGCTGGGAATATAGGCATAAGCTACCATGCCTGGCCAAAAAAACAAAACCCCACAGGTTTTAAGCAATCCATTAAAGTGCCACACCTTCCAAAGTTCTATTATATAAAATAGAGTGTGATATTGTTTGGATCTACGTCTCCACCAAATCTTATGTCAAATTGTAGTCTCCAGTGTTGGAGGCGGGGCCTGGTGGATGGTGGCTGAATCACAGGGATAATTTCTCATGACTGGTTTAGCACCATCCCCTTGGTGCTGTTCTCTTGCAGTGAGTTTTCTCGATCAGGTTGTTTAAAACTGTGTGGCACCAACCCACCTCGTACTCTCTTGCTCTCGCTCCCACCATATGAGACGCCTTGCCCCACCTTTGCCTTCTGCCATGATTGGGAGCTTCTTGAGGCCTCCCCAGAAGCAGAGGACACTATGGTTCCTATACAGGCTGCAAAACCATGAGCCAATTACACCTCTTTTCTTTATAAATTACCCAGTCTCAGGTATTTGTTTTTTTGAGACAAAGTCTCATTCTGTCGTGCAGGCTGGGGTGGCATAATCACGGCTCACTGCAGCCCTGACCTCTCAGGCTCAAGTGATCCTCCTGCCTCAGCCTCCCAAGTAGCAGGGACCACAGGTGCATGCCACCACCCCTGGCTAATTTATTTTTATTGCTTGTAGAGATGGGGGTCTTACCATGTTGTCCAAGCTGGTCAGGTATTTCTTTATAGCAATGTGAGAACAGACTAATACAAAGTGTACTACTTACTACAGTTTCATTTAGGAGAGTGTAGAATATTCATGTTTTCATGACTGATAATATATGTTCTACATACCAACTATTTTGGATTACTTGCATCTCTATATCCTTTTGTTAGCATCAATAGCTAACATGTGCCTTAATCCAGCATACAGAGTACACACACTTTGAAAGTCACACTTCCCTTTTGAGGAAAAGGAACTTTGTCTTGCTTATGTTAACTTCCCTCCATCTTTTCACTAACCTGATTTAATTCAGTTCACTGAAATTTTCTGTCAGAACCTATTTAACAGAAATAAATGAATCATTTTTCAACCTACAGTTTGGGTCTTGCTCAAACAGCTTTACAATGTTAGGGTTATTTGATGATGTTTAAAATAAAATGCATAATAATAATGGATTTCATTGAAGCCACTGGGGAACCATTAAGGTAAACTGCTTTTGTAGAGCACTACACAGCTTTAAAGAATAGGTTATCTCCCAAAATGAAACCAATCATTACTGTTGGCAGGGTAGATTCTGCATTTTCTGCTTCCTGGATATTTCTTAATGTTTTCTCTTCATGTTCTTGGAACCCTTGGACAATGTGACTTTAGTGTACAACAAAGATTCATGCCTACCAAATATTTCATTTTTGATAAAGGCTAAAAATAGAATCTCCTAAATACAAACCATCCTTCCTGGTGCTGCCTGCCCTCTAAGTGCAGTCATCTATTAATTAACTATAAAAAAAGAGGAAGGCAGTGATAAGAATAACCCTTACTGATTTTGCTTTGGAATTACATATACTGACCTATTTCAATCTTCTAAAATATCTGGTGTAGTCTACAAAAATATCAATACTGATTTGATTTCAGAATACATACTAACATATATAAGTGGGGAATGCTTTCTCTACAAGCATCCTGGGTGAAGAGAAAAAAGCAGCCTGGAGTTTACATATGTCATACGTAACCCACAAAATAGACAATGTACATGTGGATAGATAAGAAATGACTATTGTGGTTCTATAATAGAAAATTCCCACCTCCTAGGATGGCTATGAGGGATGTTACCTTTGATTTATACTTAGGAAAGCATTTGCAAATATGGGACTAAAATCCTAAGTGTGGCTGCTGGGGCTCCCTCCATGTGGGAAGGGAAGTATAATTATTTTTATTATGTTATGTCTGTGTGTGTGTGTATTTCTCAATCTTCATCTTTGAATCTTGTCCTAAAATTCCCAGGGTCCAACCAGGACTGCCTGAGCAGGTCCACGAAGGCTCTGCAGTGGTAAAAGGGACTACTCCTGGGTTTTCCTTGCTGTCTAAAGCAGCACTGGGAATTCAGGAAAAGAAATCCACATACAGCTGGATGCCTAAAGCAACTAAAGTAGGGAATAAAAAAAGATATTAAAGAATGCATGTGCACACACACATATGTACACACACACACACACCCATGTACACAAGAGTTGCCGTAGTTTAAAAAAATATAGTATCATTCAGGCAAATAAGGAAAAAAAATAGTACTTTCTATTATATCAAAACAAACACCTCTTGGCCATATATCCCCATTCTAAGTTAGGCACCATAGGCTCCTAATTTGTCTGGGCAAACTCCGTCCTCCAATCCCTACAAAAGTGAGTTAAAGAAACTTCACTCCTCTCATCTCCCCAATACCTTTCCCAAATCTATGAGCCCAAAGCCATCAATCCGATGAGCTTTATCAATGAGTGGCATCAAGTTTCTAATTCCATTTCATAGCTAAGGGCAACATGAAAAGACACACCTGCATCTGTGTGAAAATCTGAGCTTTCTGGCACTCTTCCAGACTGGGCCCAAATGCAGCCATCACGTGCTCCTCAGTTCCAATCATCTGCACAATTTCCTGGTCACTCTCAACACCCATGGCCTAGGAAGGAAAGAAAAGATAGAAAGAGTGTTGGCTTTGTGTTAACTCACTGACATTTGCTTATGCTAATTTGGCATTGTTTGTGGGTATTACTTCTAAGCAAAAGCTAGCTCTTCTCTCAGAAACGGTGCCATCTGGCATTGGCAGCCTTGCCCAAACTGCAGAAGAACCTGAAACAGAAATTTTGATTAGAAAGTGGAAAACAAACATTCTCAAACATTTTTTGCATGTGTACTATCTGCTAAAATTTTTAAATACATTTAAGAGTTTCATCACGAAAAAAGGAGGTTAGGAGGTACAGTAAAGACAACTGGTCATAACTACAAAGGCAAACTGCAAAGAAAAACAACCAAAAGGCAGTGAATCTGAAAAGACGCATTGCTGAAAATAAGCAGAACGCCAATTAGTCTTGCCATAAAATTAATTTTTCTGAGAACTGTCTAATCACTCATATTTAGGCTAAAAGAGTTTTTCCTAAAACATGTTTTACCTCACTATTCCAGAGATATCAAACTATACTTCATGCAGGTTTTAAAAGAGACTTTTAAAAAGCAGAAACACAAGGGCTGCACAGTGGCTCACGCCTGTAATCCTAGCACTATTGGAAGCTGAGCCGGGTGGATCACCTGAGGTCAGGAGTTCGAGAACAGCCTGGCCAACGTGGTGAAATCTCATCTCTACTAAAAATACAAAAATTAGCCAGACATGTTGGCGCATGCCTGTAATCCCAGCTACTCAGGAGGCTGAGGCAGGAGAATTGCTTGAACCCTATGGGGGTGGGTTGCAATGAGCTGATACTGCACCATTGTACTCCAGCCTGGGCAACAAGAGCAAAACTCTGTCTCAAAAAAAAAAAAAGTAGGAACACACTTAAGAGGCTTCAGAAACCCACTTAAGTGTTTCAAGGTGGCAGCAGCAACACAGGTCTTTGTAGATTCCATATGGTATTAGGGCTCACTTCTTCACACGTTTGCCTGGAATTCTGCCATATCAAGGAACACAGCATCATATCACTAAATCTCTCTTGGAAGAGTAATAGCCTGCTTCTTAGTAGCAAGGGGAAAAGTTATGTTTGCATTAAAATTCTTCCTTCAGCTGTAGAGAAGACGGAATCAGAGGATAATTGTGTAGTTAGTGTTGATGCCCTAATTCTCAGTTCTCCACACAAAAGAGAAAGGAAGGGAAAATTAAATCCCAAGTTCTAATGCAGAACATCAAGGACACTATTCTGAGTACAACAGAAGGGCATCTATCTAAAAGTCAAGAGATCTGAGGTGTTCATCCTAATATAATACCAACAACAGACACAGGCATTACAGCTATTACTGTCATGCAACCTCTTTGCCTCTATTTTCTCATTTGCATAAATGAAAAACCAGATCCCTTCCAGCTCATAATTCTATGACTCTACATTCTACATTTGACCTTCAGTGGTCTGCATTCTATAAATCTGATTTGGATACTTTAGGATCAGGTGTAAACTTATAGAAAGTTTTGAAGATTTGGGGGGAAGCTGAATAGATGCCATGTCCCTTTTTAGACCAACTGCGGTGGTTTTAAAAATCTTCACAGATTCTTTGATACCCCCTTCAAAAGGTGGAGACTAATTCCCCACCCCAAGTGTAGGCTAAGCTCAATGCCTCATTTCTGCAGCAAAAATGTGGAGGTGGCATGTATGATTACTTTGAAGGCTTGGTCATAAAAGGCACTATAGCTGCCTGCGTGCTCTGTCTTGCAATGTCTCTCTCGGAGAAGATAGCTGCCATGTCATGAAAACATGCAAGCTGTCTGTGACAAGGTCCAGTGATGAGAAACTATGTCCTCTTATCAACAGCCAGTGAGGACCTGCCCTTTTCTGTTAACTGCCATGTGGGTGAGTTATCCTGGAAGTAGATCCTCCAGCCTGCTTCAGTTCAGCCTTCAGATAACTGCAGCCCTGGCTGGTATCTTCTCTTTTTTCCTCTTTGAAGAAGGGATCTTGCTTATGTTGCTCCGGCTGAAGGCAGTGGGCATTCACAGAAGCAATCATAGTGCTCTATAGCCTCAGGCTCCTGGGCTTAAGTGGTCCTCCTGCCTCAGCATCCTGAGTAACTGGGACTACAGGCACATGCCACTACGTTCAGCTTGCGGCTGACATCCTGACTCATGAAAGACCCTTAGACAGAATCACCCAGCCAAGCAAGTCTTAAATTCCCAACTAACAGAAGCTGTGCTATAATTTCTTACATGGCACAGATAACTAATATACCAACGTTTGGAAGTAAATTCACTATCTAAATTTAAAACAATTTGTTTAAATGGACAACTTGTTTTGCTCCAATTTTTTTTGTTGTTGTTTAGCAAACAAGTTCTCAGGATGCAAACCCTTTTTCTACAGCTTTTGAAGTCTTTTTTTTAAACCTCCAATTTAATATGGCACATTTATTCAAATGGATACTAGAAATAACTCCACTATTTAAAAATTACACAATATCATTAAAACACTTATACTTTCATGGATTAAAAGATAACAGTCCCAAAAAAAACTATCAGTTCTAATTTTTAAACAAACGAAACAAGATTATTCTCAGCTCAAGCACACTGAGTTGCATTTACTTTGGTGGGACGGCATATACGCAAAACTATCTACACTTTCTCTTTGGTCTGCAAGTAGCCAGTCACAAATATTAGAACAGAATTCTCTTCTGTGGTATTTAAATAATGTAGGTTAAGTATCCCTAATCTGAAAATCCAAAATCTGAAACCTTAAAAAAAAAGTTGTGGGGAAGGAGGAGGAGGTTTTTTTTTTTTTTTTTTTTTTTTGAGACAAATTCTTGCTTTGCCACCCAGGCTGGAGTGCTGTAGTGGAATCTTGGCGCAATGCAACGTAACCTCTGCCTCCTGGGTTCAAGTGATTCTCTTACCTCAGTCTCCCAAGTAACTGGGACTATAGGCACCTGCCACCATGTCCAACTAATTATTCTATTTTTTTAGTACAGATGGAGTTTTACTATGTCGACCAGGCTGGACTCAAACTCCTGGCTGCAAGTGATCTGTCCACCTTAGTACCCCAAAGTGCTGGGATTACAGGCATAAGCCACCGTGCCCGGCCAATTTTTTCTAAGTGACAGGGTCTCACTGTATTGTCCAGGCTGGGGTGCAGCGGCCATTCAGAGTCACAGCTGCAGTGCACTATAGCCTCAAACTCTTGGGCTCAAGCAATCTTCCTACCTTACCCTCTAAAGTAGCTGGCACTGAAGGCACACACCACCATGACCAGCTTCCAAAATCTGAAACTTTTTGAGTAAAGACATAACACTCAGAGGAAATACTCATTGGAGCATTTCAGATTTTGGATTTCTGGATTTGAGATGCTCAACCATAAGGATAAAGATAATGCCAATATTCCAAAAGTTTAAAAAAACTCTGAAATCCTAAACACTTCTGATCCCAAGCATTTTATATAAGAGATGCTCAACCTGTAATGAAAAGGCCTTTCCTCATTTGATGTACAGATTGCCACTTCAAGTTGTCCTAATGCTGAATCTAAGTGGTAATTTCATAACTGCATAAAATTCTCAAATGTCCTAACAGAGATCTAAACAGACTGCTAAGGCCCTCCAAATATTTCTAAGCTATGAAGCAAAGATATGCCAAGTACATGGTAAATGACACCATATGTGCAGAAAGCATGATTACTGCCAAAGCTTTGCTCTAAAAGGACTAAACTCTTCCTATATCAAGTCACTAAATGCAGGAGCAATAATTCAGTCAAGTTATCATCAAAGCGCACCAGCTGTAAAGACCGAACTGACTTTATGACTATTTAGCCTTCAGTTGTCACAGCTACAAATAAATGACACATTGCTATGGAAACAACAGCAAAATGTTCAACCATTTTACTTTAAAGACATAATTTAGACATCTGAAAACTGGCTTTATATGGACTCTTTGTACTCCTAATATCTGAAATCATTTCTCCTAACTAATAAGTCAAAAGTAAATGCTATATAATAACCTTATGAAAAAGCAGCAGAGATAATACATTTCAACAGGTCACCTACACTCTAGCAATCAGCAATACCACTGAACAAAAATAAGGGGAGGTGTACTATAAAAGTGACATGAGGTCTTTTTAGATATCCACAAAGTGTCTTTTAAAGACAGAAAGAATACTAATGAGCAGAAGAGACTGACACACACTAATGGTGATAGGTTGAAATATATTGTGTGAAGGTGGGAAAGGGAATAACTTCTTAAAGTATCTAATATTCAGAAATCTCTAATTTTGCTTTAAAGTAGACTAATCCCAGTGCTTTGGGAGGCTGAGGCAGACAGACCACAGGGTCAGAAGATGGGGACCATCCTGGCCAACATGGTGAAACCCCATCTCTACTAAAAAAATTAGCTGGGGCAGGGCGCGGTGGCTCAAGCCTGTAATCCCAGCACTTTGGGAGGCCAGTGGATCATGAGGTCAAGAGATCGAGACCATCCTGGTCAACACTGTGAAACCCCGTCTCTACTAAAAATACAAAGGATTAGCTGGACATGGTGGCGCATGCCTGTAATCCCAGCTACTCGGGAGGCTGAGGCAGGAGCATTGCCTGAATCCAGGAGGCGGAGGTTGCGGTGAGCCGAGATCGCACCATTGCACTCCAGCCTGGGTAACAAGAGCGAAACTCCGTCTCAAAAAAAAAAAAAAATTAGCTGGGTGTGGTGGTACATACCTGCAATCCCAGCTACTCGGGAGGCTGAGGCAGGAGAATAACTTGAACCAGAGAGTCAGAGGTTGCAGTGAGCCCAGATTGTGCCACTACACCCCAGCCAGGCAACAGAGAAAGACCCCATCTCAAAAAAAAAAAATAAATAAAGACAAATTTCCATATAAGTTAGTTTCCAGGAAACACTGCCCAGCACCCTTGAAATTTGATCCTCTTTTCCAAAAACACTTTCAAACTACAGAGGCCATCATAAGCGCAGGCTGCATACTTGGAATACAAAATGGAAAGTGGGGAAGATTCATTGGCAGGAGAACCTTTGTAGTGATTCAAGTCCATAAATAAGGCTGATCTATGTCTTAAAAGCTTTCTCCATCATATTCAGACTCAGCATGGAATCTGGAAACCCTGCTGTTCCTGTCACTTTCAGCCAATTGTTGGTTACAATCAACAACCATCAAGTCCTAATGACTGTCAAGGTCTATGTTAGGGCCACACAACACTCAAAGAGAAATGATGTGTCTTTTCTGGTATCCCCGTTTGTTTTCCCAGATTTCTGACCATAAAGAGAACTAAGGAAAGTAAAAGGACACTCCACGGCAACTCTCTTAGGTAAAATTCTCAAAGAGGCTGGAAAATTTGCCCAAAGTCACACAGCTAATAAGTACAGATGCTGGGATTCAACCTAAATCTGTCTGATTCTAAGATATCCAATATGCTATGCCGCCTCCCAGATGGAAAAGTCTAAATAGTGGTTATCAAACAAATTCCCATCAACTTACTAAAACATATCCATTGTGAGAGACCAATAAACGTGACTGTTTATGACCAAAATATTTAGCTCATTTATACAAACTAAAAATTTTAAAATATTTACTGATTAAGTGTAGTGGATACGTTTCAGGAAAATAACGCAACATGTATCAAGTTTAAAAAAAAAAACAAACTTCCACTCTCAGGAATAAAGTCTCACAAAACAATCAGCAATGTGCGCAAACAGGTATCTATAACAGACTTCCTAGGGATAAGAGTAAAACCTGGGGGAAGAAAATGACACCCACACGCCCCACTAGAGGAAGGGTTGAGTAAATTCCACCACATGTATGCAACTTGTACACAATAGTCACTAAAAATAATAATGTAGATTCATAACACGGAAAGCTATTCATATAATGAATTATTAAGTGAAAAAAATAAAAATTTATATGTGTATTACAAAAGCACGAGAAAATGGTCTGGAAAAAGTATATCCAAAAATGCAGATATACTTTTAAGTGGCTTTCTAAATTTAAATAATGCAAGAAATGTTTTTATAATCAGAAAGAGAGAGACGTTTGAGATCACAACTACTGGTTACAGAAATATTCATATTGTTAATTTATAGCCCTATTCTAAAAAGGATTTAGGTCAGCTATGTGCATGTAAGCATACATGTTTATAGATGTGCAATATAAATATTAAACAAACTTGACAGAAGAAACCGTCTTATTAAACTCATCATCTAGCCAAAAAACAATACTTAATATATTTTCTGATTTTAATGTATGCATGAGCCTAGTCTTGCATTTGCCATGAGTGATAGATTATATTCATTATAATTAATTTATAATTTCCGGTAGAAAGAAAGCAGTACTATGCATCTTCAAGTATCTATAAAACTTTCCAAAAAAAAAGTCCTTTGGATTCACGGGAACATACTGCCCTCTGCTGGAAATGTAATTCTACTTTGTTAGATAAAATTTTCTTTTTTTGAGCCGGAGTCTCCCTCTGTCGCCCAGACTGGAGTGCAGTGGTGTGACTTTTGCCTCACTGTAATCTCTGCCTCCTGGGTTCAAGCAATTCTCCTGCCTCAGCCTTCCAACTAGCTGGAATGACAAGTGTGAGCCACCACGCCCAGCTAATTTTTGTATTTTTAGCAGACGGCGTTTCACCCTGTTGACCGGCTGGTCTCAAACTCCTGACCTCAAGTGATCCACCCACCTTGACCTCCCAAAGTGCTGGGATTACAGGCATGAGCCACCAGGCCTGGCCCCATTAGATAAAATTTTCTTTATTCATCACTAAGTACATAAAACACTACATTAGGCACTGTGGGATCCCTACAAGAAAATCCAAAATTACTTTTGTGCTTAAAAAATACAAATCTTGAAGAAAGAAAAGAAAAGGTATTTTTCTGGGCCCTCTGATATCATGGTACTGCTACTATGACTATTATCAAAATCATCCTGAAAAGAAAATGGCTCCATCTCATTTATAGAACTCAAACATTAGGCTACAGTAAACATTTTAAAATGTCCTAAAACTTCTTTCACACAATTGTTTTTAGAATATGGATGCTTCCTGAGTTAAAGAACCTGACTTGTCCACATCCATTCGATACTTATGAACCACCAGGGGCTCTCTCCCTAAACCCCAATCACCAGACTGATTTGAGGGCTACTTTCCTTCCCTGACTCCTATACTCTGTAACCTGGTAACAACTTTAACAGTAAAGACTCAATCCCTTCTTTCTTACTCCTGAGGCTTATACCCAAAATGCTTTTCCTTTTTAACCAACTTAGTTAATTCAACCTCAGAGGATTTCTTCCTCTGTTTTCTCTAATTTTGACTCAAAAATTAGTTCTACTATCATAACTATTAAAACTGAATATATAAATTTCTAAAATTATCTGAAGCATCCAGTATCTCCTCAAATTTAGTTGAAATCTCAATTTAGTTGAAATGAGCCCTTCATTTCAACTAAACTGGTTATCAACATTCATTTTATATCTATATATAGTTGGTTATCACTATCCATGGTAGTTATATTCTATAGAGTTGCTGAATTACACCAAATACTGAATAGAGAATACTGAGCCAATGCTTGTAGGAAAAATATAGGGCTAGGTTCCTGTGAGCCTAGAGTCATAACATTTTCCTCAACTGACCAATACAGAACCTTATTTTGTGTGCTTCTTTTAAAAGATATTTAATATATATCATTGATTCATTAACTTTGAAGTCAGCCAACAGCACTATAACTCATGCCTGAACAAAGCTCATCAAGCTTATCTAACACATATTTCTCCAGAAGGCAC